AATAAAAATGAATATTCTGCCCAAATTATTATTCCTTTTTCAAGCAATTCCAATAAAATTAGGAAAAAATTTTTTTTGAAGAACTAAATAAGACAACAACAAAATTTATTTGGCAAGGGAAAAAGGCGCAAATAAAATTGAAACTTTTGCAAGATAGTAGAAACAAGAGAGGTCTTGGACTCCCAGATTGGGAGCTCTATTACCAGGCCGCAGTCTTAACATGGATTAAGGATTGGGTAAATCTAAAAAATAAATGAGTATTAACAACAGAGTATTAACAATGCGTTTATATGGGAAGGGGAAAAATACATTCCATTCATACTTCCAGAGGCACAAAGTCAGAGGCACTCTATTATCTGTATGGGAGAGAATCAAGAGAAACCATTACATGAAGATCCCAATTTGGTTATCCGCCATAGAAGCAATGGTGTATCCCAATGTCCTTGACTTAAATAAAATAGTGAGATATAAAGAATTATTGGATGAACAGGGAAAATTGAAAACTAAACAAGAACTTATCAAGTTTACTTTAAAAAACTAAAAGAACAAGGGATAAAAATAGACTGGTGGCCCTATTTACAAATTCAAACAAGATATAAGAAAGATATAGAAGAATTTGGAATAAATAAAGATCAGGCAGGAATTAAAAAAAATATTACAAGGGTCAGATGAAAAAATGATTACCAAAATATATAATTATCTCCTAAGATACCAAATGGAAGAGGAAGCGGTAATGATAATTTGGGCGAAAATTTTTGGTTACAGCATTAATTTGGAAGAATGGGAAAAATTATGGGAAATAAACTATAAACTAACTCTATCAGCAGCATAGAAGAGAATTTATACAAAATGTTTTACCTTTGGCATTTACTCCCAGCAAGATTGGCTAAGATGTTCTCTAATAGATTAGCAAATTGTTGGAAATGTAATTATAAACAGGGAATCTATATGTAGTGAGCATGCCCTCAAGCTAAAAATTATTGGTTTAAAATTAGGAAATGACTGGAGGAAATTACAAAACAGAAAACTGAACTGAGACCAGGGTATATTAAGATATAAAATAAGTAAGAAACTCCAATATATTATATTACATATAATATATTACATATAATAACTGCATATAATGCCTTTGCCCAGAATTGGAAAAGTGACAGCATTCCCTCCGATATTATGATAACAAAAAAGGTTTTAGAGTGTGCAGAAATGGATAGGCTTTCAATGGAAATGAAGGAGAGAGAAGAGACAGAGTACTACGAAATTTGGAATTTATGGTATAATTAGCTGCAAGGTAGACACAAAATAGAGATATAAAATAAAAGGTTATGGTCTGATGAAATAATTTTGTATGAATAGGCTATGTATACTTATGTATAAATATGTAAATAACTACGTAAATATATGAAAATATGACATAAATAAAATGTAAAATAATATTTAATAATATTCTATATACTTAAGAATATGTCAAAGTGAGTGAACACTACTACGAATATGATGCAATGAATGGAAATATGTTTTTAAATTGTTTTTAAATTGTAGAATTTGTTTAATAAAGTTTTTTAAATATTAAAAAAAAATTCACTGGACTTAATTCATAAAGAATCTCAAAAGGGATTTAATCTAGTCCAATCTCTCTTTTTTTAAAAAATAATTTTTATTAAACAATTTTTCTTATATACAACATCATTTCCATTCATTACAATGCTTTCGTGATGGTATACATACTTTTACAAAAATCGTAACTATATATACGGTATACATACTTTTACAAAAATCTTAACTATATATACGGTATACATACTTTTACATAAATCTTAACTTTCTATACACTTGTCTATGTTGCTTAATCTATCTTTGTCTACTATATCTTTTACCTTATTATTTTATTGTCTTCTGCTCTATTCAACTCTATATCTATTGTTTAGCCAATCATACAGTACATTCCACATCAAATAATAATCTGTTTCCTCTCTTTCCTTTATCTCCATAGTCAACTTATCCATCTCGGCACACTCTAGCATTTTCTTATCACATTTTCCTCTGGTGGCATACTATCATTTTTCCAATTCTGTGCATAATTTATTCTTGCTGCCATTAATTAATGTAGCATTAAATACTCTGTTTTCTTATCATATTTTCCCATTATTATACCTAATAGAAAATTCTCCGGTTTTAATTCAATTTGCTGTTTATTTATTTCTTCTATCCAGTTTTTGTCCTTATCCAATATTTTCTTGCTTCAGGGCACGTCCACCATGGATACTAATATGTTCCTTATTTTTGTTTGCATTTCCAACATTTGGATGATCTGTTTGGGAATATTTTTGCTAATCTAGCAGGTGGTAAGTGCCACCTGTAGAACATTTTGTACAATTTTTCTCTATATGATTGCGACATCATCAATTTATAATTCCTTTCCCTCATTTTTTCCCATTTCTCCAATTCTATTGTGTAGCCAAAAATTTTCACCCAAACAATCATCATTTTTTTAACCCTCTCCTCTTCCATTTTATAATCCAACAAATAATTATGTAATTTTTTAATCAATTTCTCCTCTGGACCTTGTAGAATCTTATCTAATTGCTCATTAAGGTGTCCTTATATTTTAGTATCTTATCAAGATTTAACACATTTGGGTATATTGATGCTTCCATAGTTGATAACCAGATCGGAATTTTGTCATAATGATTTGTTTTAATCTTTTCCCAAATTAATAGCAATGCATTTCTCATTTGATGTTTATTATTACTTTTGCCATTTGTGTGGAATATATTTGATGTTTTTCCCATTCCATAAAAATGTGTGCTATCCTAATTGTAAGTTGTGTCCTTCAATTGTCAATATTCTTTTATTTTTCAACATTACCCAATCTTTGATCCATGTAAGGGCTGCTGCTATGTAATATAGTTCCCAATCTGGCAGAGCAAAAACCCCTCTCTTTCGGCTACCCTGTAACAATTTTAACTTTATTCACGTTTTTTCCCCCCCAGCCAAATAAACTTTGATATTAATTTGTTTAAATCTTCAAAACATTTCTTTCCTAACCCTAACCCTAACTTTAATGGTGTCACTTGGAACAGAAACAGAATTTTTGACAATATGTTCATTTTTATTGTAGCAATTCGTCCTATAAGTGAGAATTGTAAATTCTTCCAATTATCCAAATCCATCTTAATTTTCATTAACAATTTTGTATAATTATCTTCTTTAATAGATATACTTTTCGATGTAAGCCAAATTCCTAAATATTTAACTTTTTTAACAATTTGCATTTCCAATTTTTCTTCCAGTTCTTTGTTCTGTTTCTTAGTAAGATTTTTTGTTACAATCTTTGTCTTCTTTTTATTTATTTTAAGACCTGCCACTTTTCCAAATTCTTCTATTTCTGAATTAATTTGGGTCCCAATTCTAACGGTTCCTCAAGCACAATTACCAAATCGTCTGCAAAAGCTTGGACTTTATATTCCTCTTTTTTAATTTTGAAACCTTTTATTTCTTGTTCCCCTGTAATGTGTCCAAGTAACACTTCTAAAGTCAGGATAAACAACAATGCTGATAGCGGACATCCTTGCCTTACTCCCTTCAATATTTGAAATTGTTCAGTTAACTCTCCATTTATTATTACTTTTGCCATTTGTGTGGAATATATTGTTTGTACCATTCTTATGAATTCCTCCCCAAAATTCATAATTTCTAATTGTTTTGTAATAAACTGCCAATTCAAATTATTGAAAGCCTTTTGCGCATCTAGAAACATTAATGCTAATTGTCTTCCAGAATGTATTTCATAATATTCCAGTATATTTATAATCATGCTGAAATTATTTTTCATCTGTCTCTTTGGCAGAAATCCGTTTTGATCTGGATGTATCAACTTAACATTTTTTTTGCCTTTCCGCCATTATGGATGGAAATATTTTATAATCAGTATTCAATAAAGAAATAGGCCTATAATTTTTTTCCCGCCTCTGCCATTTTCATCATCGTAATTTTTCATTTAACATCGTTCTTTTTATCTCTTCAATTTTGCTTTTTTTTCTTATCCAAATATACTTTAACATTCTTTTCTGTTATATTTTTCTGACTGTATAAATTCCTAAAAAAATCTTGAATATTTTTTTTCTCTTCTGTTCTATGACATATATTCCCTTTGTCTTCTTGCAATTGGTGTATTATTCTCTTCTCCTTTTCTTTTCTTAATTTATTTGCTTGCCATCTCTCCGGCTTATTCGCATGCTCCCCAGTTTATTCACATGCTTTCGTCCTTTTAACTTTTTGTGCCATTTCTTCCTGTACTATCAAATTCAGTCTATGTGTTATAAGTTCCATTTCCTTTTTAACTTTGCCTTTTTGCTTGAAAAGCAAAACGTTTCATTATATAGAAATTCAAGTTTATTTTTATCCAACATTTATCTTTACATGACACCGACGTTGGCAGCCATTTTTTTTTAATTTCTAAGAATGCCTATGAGGATTATATAGGATTTAGAAAGAGTTATTAAAAGAATTAAAAGAATTTTTTGACTTGCTTGTAGAAAGCATGTGACATACTAAAATGTGAAAAATGTGTATTGACTATCAGAATTACAGCCTCTGATAATTCTGTGCAAATTTCAGATATAAAGCAAAAACTCCACCAGTAATTGCACTTATACCTTTAGGTGACTCTAATTACTGGCATTTTGAGGTAAAGTAAGTTTTATGCTGGATTATTCTTTACAATAAACATTCACTAACATTACATTTGATCACCAATTTCCATAGATGATATACAATCAGCATTTTTGAATCAAAGCCCAAATCGATTCCCAATAAACAAAATTTACATTTTGTTTTGCATATATTTCACTTGTACAGAAGAAGGATAAAAAAAATGAGTAAAAGTTATGATTAGCTGTAGGACCATTGACTTTTTGTTATATTGCTATATATAGATATGACCTTCCAAACTAGTTTTGGTTCTGAGCTATTTATTGACAATAATTAGTATCAGCACTTACTTGTTTGTAGCTGTTTTTCTCTTGCTTTCAAATCATTGTTTACTTGAGCGAAATGATTACTAAAGGCAACAAGATCTGCTTCCAAAAACACTGGACACTGTTGGTTCTCTTTTAGTGCTTTGCCTTGTACCTTCAGTTTTTCTATCCGAGGTTGAATGCTTGAAAAGTGGACCACTTCATCCTGCCAAAAAGTGGTTTTTAAAAGGAATGTCAGTATATAATAATGGTGAAATAAATTGTGTTTATGAACTGCTATTTAAGCTGCCATTTCAATCATAAATCTGTATGACTTTTATTTAATAGGAATACCGTACTCAATTTTTGTTTTATACAGGTATAAAAGAATTACTTATATTAACTTCTAATACTAATCAGTTGCAAAACTGCATATATGCTTGTATATTGGGCTTCAAAATCCATACAATTCTTTCATTAGATAACTGAAGTGTTCCTCTATAATTGGAATGCTATTCTTACATGAATTATCAGAATTCATGAATGATAGGTAATGGACTGGATATATACCCATGTTAATGTATGTATGTATTATTTATAACAGAATAACAGAGTTGGAAGGAACCTTGGATGTCTTCTAATCAAACCTCCTGCTCAGGTAGGAAACCCTATACCATTTTAGACAAATGATTGTTCAATCTCTTCTGAATAACTTCCAGTGTTGGAGCACCCGCAACTTCAGGAGGCAAGTTGTTCTACTAATTAATCGTTCTAACCATCAGGAAATTTCTCCTAAGTTCTAGTTCTATATATCTATATAATGTACTATTCCATGAAATGGAAATAACAGATTGAATGCTGAAGTGTAACTCAATAAACAGCAAGTTTATGTTTAGTAAAACTAGTGGATATTGTTAGGCATTAGTATTATACAGTGCATACATTACATATGCAATTAAATTCAATGTAAATTCAGAAACGTAGTAAGAATAAATTGGTTTTTTTATCCAATCAATCAAATAAATGAATGAATAAATAAATGTTTTAAGGGTTTTTTAAAAATAGTTTTTTAGTTTTGTATGCTGACAGTCCACTAGAGTTGGATGACAAATTAATGTAAATGCTGTATAGAAGTAAATAAGTAAACGATGGGGGATTGGAATAAAAAAAGAAATAGAGAACCCTGAAATCATAGGTTTCCTTTCTGCTCAAATCATACTTGTTTACTTTTTTTTTCAACCAGATGCTGTTTGACTGCATAAGCATAAGAGAGAACTGAACATTGTTAGTAAGTTGCTTGAGTTGCCTGGTGCTGCTAGTTTTGTTGGATCTTTCATTATCAGGTACATTTTGCCAGATTTAACCAATCTTCAATTTCATCTCCTTGCAGTGTATTGCTAAACTGCTTGACAATGATTAAGAGCAGACCAGTCAGATATTTCAACCATGAAGTTCATCTCCACCTGGTGCTGACCAATTCTTGATTTTTTTGTTCTTTTTTCCACAATTTCTGCTGTTATTATAAATTCTTTAATTTCAACCATTTTATTGTTAACTACCTCCTTTATTGAAGCTGCATTTTTGTTGTATTTTTTGTGTTGTTCCATAGTTTTGCCCAGAACTGCATTGTGTTTTCTTTGTCAAATCTTGACTTGTGCACTGCATTCTCTCCACTTATGGATTGGTACAAATGTTTTTGTTTTGATTGAGATTGGAGATTCTACTAGTAGTGTGCAATTTGGGCTTTGTATCTTCTTGGCTATAGCTGTTATTTGTTGCTTCATTGTTTCCAGTACTTCTTCTTGTATCTAGATGATTTTTCTTAGTCTTATTCTTCAGCTTCTTTTCTTTCATCTGTTCTAACTTGCATCTGATCTGAGCAGGTGGATCTTATTTTCCAGTTTGATCTTCCATTTTGTAGTGTACTGTTTGTTTATTGATTTTGTATCCACAATATTTAGTTATAACTGCAGCTGTGCTGTACATTAGTTTATTGCATGAGGTAGTGCTTATATTTGAAATTACAGCTTTGGCATCTTTTCATACTTGGGCTAGCTGTTTCTTTGGAACCAGCTTCAATGCAGAAAATATTATTTTGTGGTGTGGGAAGTTAGCCTCTCCTAGCAAAATGAAATACTTTAGGATATATTTAAAAAGGCAGAATATTTCCCCTAAAAGAGAAGTAGAAACTCAGAAGCAGAAACTCACCTCAGAGGCAGCTCACCCCCACCTTTGTTAATGGGTGGGCCATTAAGGCCTGGGCCAGAGTATTCTACATAACAAAGGCCTCTACCCATCTCACCACTGGTCTGGAAAGATTGCATCAACCAGCACTCAGGTGAAGCCATGTGGTCCAGACAAAGCCTACAAAGTTACCTAAGACCCCCACCCCTGGGAGTCTGACAGCCAATGGGATACATTTCTTACACAGGAACAGGAAACACTAAGGTGGGGCCCAACAGAGGGTATATAACTAAGGGTCTCTCAGCATCTTGGCCCTTATTTTCCTTCACCCAACATCTTGAAGCATGTGATCATCCTTTTCACTTTGGAGCTCCAAGGCATGTGGTCCTGTCCACCATTAAACCATCTTTCCAAACAGCCTCCATGTGTCCAGTGTCTTTTTCCCCACTTGGAACTGAACAGAAAGATATTTCTTTCAACAATTTGGCACCCAGCAGATGGGACTCCAAGCTAACTCAACCAAAGGACCAGGACCAGGTAAGATTCCCTTGCCAGCAAGCACACCCATTAAGTCTGTAGGTGAGTTTTCCTGGACCTTGATCATTTGGAAAAAAGGTTTTAAAGGGGTTTTGAGTATTGAGCTCAAAGGCTGCTTGGAAGGAAGGTGGGTACCTCTAAATTCTAAATTTAAAGCATGGGAAATGTGTGTATGCCTGCGTGTGTGTGAGTGAGAGGGCCCTTCTCCAAAACACAACTGGATCTTGCTTCCTCTGTGCATTTCCTATCCTCAGAAAGACCAAGAGTCTGGACAGCATGGAGGTTTTGCCAGAGCATAGGACCTTTTGTTAGGAAAGGAGGAAGAGTGTGTGTGCGTCTGTGCATGGCTTCACCCTTGGACAGCAGCTGGATCTCATTTCCCTGTTTGGCCTCTAGCTGCACTCCGACTTGTTGCTAGCTCCACAGCCATGACTGACAGGACAGGAAAAGCAAGGTGGGGAGCAATCAGAATGTGGGACCTTCTGTATATAAGAGGGAAAAGCCAAGCGGATTATGACTGAAGAGAGGGAAGAAAATTTTTGGTTTTTTTGGTCCAGTGTATCCCCCAAAAGCAAACCCCAGGATTTTAGGTAATTGTGAATTTAGGTAATTAGGAAGTTGTGAAGTAATAGGAGTGCCAGTATTTGCCTGCAGAAGGGCAGCAAGTCCTCCTGGATTTGAGCTCTCCCAAATCTAAGAACCTGAGCTGGAATAGGAGTGCCAGTACTTGTTTGCAGGGGGCAGAAAGTTCACCTGGACTGTCTTTTGCAGGGATAATAAGTCCTCACAGACTGTTTTTCCCCCAGTCTGAAAACCGTGGCCTGAGAGTTCCTTCTGAAGAAAGTGCACATACTTTGTAAAGGAAACCAAAGTCTCCCCCAGACGCCCTTTTATCTGCAAACTGATAGCCAACTGACCCAACTAAGCCAAAGTGTGAAACCCCACATCTGAAGGGGAAACATGGGAAGTGGTAGTTCGAGGGTCCTGAATGGAACCACCGTGGGAGTTATTGGAGGCTTGGGATGAATGGTAGGTGCCAATCTTAGCTGGTATGGAAAAAAGAAAAAGAAAAAAGAAAGAAAATCTAAAAGGATATGTTTAAAAAAGGGCTTTGCTGAGGGATGACACAGGAAGACCAATTTGGCTAAACCAAGGTACTTAAAAGAAAAAGGCAATATAAAACAGGATCACGTGGGGGTTTGTTTGTTTGTTTGTCTGTCTGTCTCTTTCTCTGTCTTCTATGTAACCATGTACTTTGTTCCTTAATATTTGTGCCTTCCCCAATTTAACTGAGATTTATTGTGGGAATGATCAGTGTGTGTGTAAACCTCAGAATTTTGTTTTCCTCTCTTTGTCCTTGTTTTGTGTGCGTGTGCATGTGTATGTGTGTGTGTCTTTGTGTCCTTGAGGTAATTGCAACTGTTAAGTGTCTCTGATCCCTTCAGATGTGAATTTTAAATTGTTAGAAGAGTTGGAAGCACTGAAAGGAAAAGAAAATGTTTTCGCCTAGTTTGGTCTGGCCAACTAGACTGGATGAAGAACAGAGTTCAATTTCCTATCCTCTCTGTGCTTTTAAGAAAAACCCAAGTTTATTAGCAAATGTTCTAAGTTCATTTACAAGAAAAGTTTCATCTTTGCATTTACTGTGTGTTTAAATGATTTTACCTGATCTTTTTCCTGAAGCATGTGAATCCAGATTTTCCTTTATCATCTGTTGTGTCTCCATTTTTGTTGAAATTGATTTATCTGTTTAGTAACTGCAATACGGAAGTGTTTTCCCTCCTCAAACCCTGCCTGCAAGCTATCTACCCCCCCCCCCCAATCTCTAATCCTTTTACAATGCCTTTCCTGGTAGAATTACCAGCAAAGTGGGGAGGGGACCCTTGTTCTTTGTCTTTCAGCCTTGCCCCACGTGGAAACAAGATGCTGCCCCCTAGAGACATTCCATCCATTGGAGCCAGTAATTGGGTTTGGATCCAGCCTCCACTGAAAGTCATTACAGCAACCAGAGTGGGGCAGACCTTTCCAAGCCTGACTGACCACCCATACCACCAGGCCAAGCCTATGCCACCCAGAGACATGAAGGAAAGGACCCTGAGATGGACCAGTAAAAGACTAAAAAATCTTTTCAATCCCCAGAAGACAGTTAGAAAGATTATGGGGGGGAGGATGGAAATTCATTGTAATGTGAAATTCATTGTAATGTTTTCTTTCTTGTAAAATTTATATTGTAATCAGTTTAATGTACTCATGTAAGGATTGTATTTGAGATTGGTTGCCACAGCAAGTTCTGAATACCTTGGACTGGTCTGGTGGGAGAGATTTGTCCAACATGCTTGTATTGTCTGTATTGTACAAGTAGCTGCATACACAAACACACAAAGAGACACACCATTCAGAATTAGACAGAGTGTGGATAGCTTCTATTTTTTACTTTTCAACAGTAAAGAAACCAGTAGTTGAAGAGGTAACACTAGAAACTAGTACTTGGTAGAATAGCTGTGGAAGATTTGAAAAACACATTCTATACATACAAAATTCAGAATTGTGCAAGCCATGGAATTCCCTGTGATATTCTGTGGAAGCAAAAGTTGAAGTTTAAAGAAGTGGAATAGGAAAAGTACTGATGACTTTGAACTTTGATGTTGAATGAGACATCTAAGAATATTGAGAACAATAAAACAAACTGGTGGATCACTGAACAATTCAAATGAAATTTCAAGGCAAAGGCTCAAATCATCATCCTTTAGACATATTATACAAAGATCCAGTTCTTTAGAAAAAGCTCTAATGCTGGGAAACATAGAAGAAAAGTGAAGATGACCAACAGCAAGGTGAATTGGCTGATTTATAATCACCAAAGCATTGGGAAACTTTAAAAAACAGGTCGGAGTGATTGACATATAAAAAACCTATCCTGATATAGTACCTAGGAGTTGAAAATGACTTAGAAAACCAAACTATCTTGGTTCCTAATTGTATATTGTTACTGCTTTTTTAAAAAAAAGTTTAAAAAATTTAAAATATTTTTACAAGGTGTTCTTAAATTTTATTTTTGCAATAAAAGATGAAAATCATCTTCATTATCATAACCACTATCATCAAAGCATTGCAGATATATGAACTAATATGATGAGTGACCTTGGGAGCTATGTGAGGCTGGTCAAGTGTTATAATCACTGTACTTTATCATTGTTTACTTACTATTAAATATTAATAAACCTCTGCTGTCCAATCTAACCCAATCAGAACCAGACCCATTAAAACTGAGCAACCAATTTCTCCCCCTAGTTGAAAATAGTCAGACCCACAACCTCCCCCTCAAAGAAAACATGCAAACAACTTAGAAAAGAGACATCATACAATATCCCTAAAAATGTCACATCAATAAACTCACCTGGGATAAACAGAAAAGCACCCAGACTGCACCCCTTAAAAAGGAAAGAGAGTGTTAATGATAGTAGATTCTATTCTCAAAGGAAAAGAACCAGCCATCTGCAGACCAAACATACAATCAAGGGAGATATGTTGTCTCCCTGGAGCAAAAATCAAGGCTATGGCTGAGAATCTAACCAAAATAATTAGGCCCACAGATTATTACCCTTTTCTACTACTATATGTAGGGACAAATGACACAAAAAAGGATTGAAAATGATATTGAGTGATTATGAGCAGCTAGGCAAGAAAGTTAAGGAGTTAGGTACACAAGTAGTTTTTTCATCTGTACTGCCAACAAAAGGTCAACATCCGGTAGGTGAACTACTGGCTAAAGGGTTGGTGTCGCCAAAAACCTGTTTTTGGTAGGTTGGACTATTGTTGGACTGATGCAAAGAGTTAAGCAGCTCTGCTTTCTCTCTGCTGCCTGTTACTTCGTCGCTGTCTTCTCTCTTTAATGGACTGATGGTTTCCTTGATTATTATTTTTTGCTTATTATTTATATGTTGGAAGAAACTTTTTTTTATTACCTTGACTTTTGTTTTTTTCATTCTGAGCCTTTGCTTTCCTGACTTCGTTTTTGCAGATTCTGGCTACCTGCTGATATTCTGCCTTAATTATGTGTCCCTCTTTCCATTTTTTGTACTTGTTCTTTTTGTCTTTCAATTTGTCAGTGATCTTTGTGCAGCCATGCTGGTTTCTTCTTGGATTTCTTATTTTTCATTTTCAGTGGTATTGCGCTGGACTGGCTCTTTTATGATCATATTTTTCAGAGTTTTCCAAAATTCTTGAGTTTTCTCCTTTAGGATTTTCATTCAAGGAATCTTTCCCAAGTTTTCTCTTAAGTTTGTTAAAAATCAGCTCTTTTAGAGAGTCTTCTAGGAATCTGGTATCATTGTGTTCTATTGCTTATGTTTGTGTTATATTGCATTATAGTATGACATGGTCACTCTCACCCAAGGTTCCTGCAGTTTCAACTCCCTCTATCACTTTTTCTTTGTAAGAATTAAGTCCAGTATGATTCTCCCTCTAGTTAGACTCTGCAGAATGGATAGACTAACACTGAAGATAAAAGAAAAAGACACAGAATATTTTCAAACTTGTGACTTGTTCTATCAATGGTTGGATAATAAAGGTAGAAACTAGGAACTGAAAAAGTATTATGTAAGTAAATTGACCCAGACAGTATGCTGTTCACTATGCACTTATTGTATGTAAAGAGAAAATATGCAAATAAATTGGGGGGGAAAAGAAGGGACTGGACTGCCATCTATCAAAAATGGTGTAGGGTCTGCTTGGGTGGGGGTGGGAGTTGGACTAGATGACCTACAATGTCCCTTCCAACTTTGTTAATCTATAATCTATAATTATTTAAGTCCTTTTGCTACTACTGTCCAGTGAATAGAAATTGAGATATATTAAAACATTCTACTTAATTAATGACAATTTAAATACCATAAGAAATTTCATAACCACAATTTTTCTTTTTGCCTTTCATTTGATTTTGCATGTACAACAAAATGTTTCCATGTATTCCCTGCAAACTACTATACTATAGCTTAATTCCCACCTAGTACTTTCAAATGTGCTTCAGTTACTCATGTGTAGCATATATAGCTCCTGGCAACGATCAACACATTCTTCAAACATTTGTATCTTGGTAGTTTCATATGTGAACAAGCTTGTATATCTTTTTCTCCCTTTTATAAGATTATCAACACAACTGAATATCATAGATGTTTTTATGAATAACAAGGACCTGAATAAATTATGACAACAGAATACCACACAGATTAGGACAGAATTTCTAACCTTGCACCTATCTAACTGTATTTTCACTGCATCAGGATCTGCTGCTGGTAAGAGCTGTGCTTTGATCCAATTTTCAACAGTAATTACTGTATGCTCCAATTGCTGCAGCTGAGAGTAGAAGGCAATGATGTTATTTTGATACTCCAACCATGCCAGTCTTTCACTCAGTAATTGACAGAACTCAATCCACCGGATGTTCAACTGTTCTGAAGCCTGTCTGATATTGTCAGCATTAAGCCCATCTAAAAAAAAAAGGAAAGAATTGAGCACATTTTTTTAGTTTGTTTTGGATATAGAAAAGTAATGTAAAGAAAGACATTTAATAACTCTGTATCTGAATCAGAGGATTTATAAACATGATCTTGAGTATATACACACACACAACAAACACTGCATGCATGTATGTTAGTACATAAAACAAGCATTCACACATTTAGGAGGAAAACCTAAAATAAGGCCATAACATTTCATATATTACCTATGGAAAGGCAGTTCAGCCTATTTTAAAGTTTAATATCTTATAAATATATAAAAATGGATGTGTGCATGTGTGTGTGTGTTCATGTTCCAGCATAACTCTGGAACGCCTTGAGCAATTTCAACCAAACATGGTAGACAGATGACTTACCTTCTGAAAAAAAAAATACTGTGGGGGTAAGACACCCCTATCACTCCTTGAGGTGTGTGTGCATGTGATGACTTCTACTGTACAGCACAGTAGAGTTGCCATGGTAATGGCTTCACAGTATTCCACAAGAGGGCTCCCTCTGGTAAGGGGGATTGGTTCTTACAAAAAAGCAAGGGGGCTTCCTCTGCTTCAAGCAAAGAGGGCAATTGACGGGGGAGGTGCCTGCTAATGCAGATAATCACCTCAAAGGCTATTCCCTGTAGAATTTTTCCAAGGCTGTTGGCCAGAGCAATTAGGTCTTTAATTCTAACCACAGTGGTTGAGGTAACAGGCCCAGGCCCAAGATGCCTCAAGGAAACATCAGGCGATTGGCCAAATGCGATCAAAGGCTACAAAAATAAAACACCAGCATAGACAAGAAACTCCAGAGGAGAGGAATAGAAGACTTGTGGATACTATGTGAGAGAGCTGCTACATCTGGAACTTCAGAGACAGTACAACAGTGTGAGGCCCAATTAAAGGATAAGAGAGATAGACTTACTACATCTAGAACTTCAGAGACAGTACAACAGCTTGAGTCCCGACTATAGGGTAAGAGAGATAGAGCTCCTATATCTAGACATTCAGAGACAACGCCTGACTACACTACAGGAGAGATAGAGCTGTTACATCTAGAGCTTCCTTTATAATTTGTATACTCTACTTATACTTTTAAAACCCTGTAAATAAAGTTACTTTGATTTGACAGTATAGATATAATTCATTCCTTTTCCTGTCTAATACAGGATTGGGATAAATAAATACCCGGGTAATGCCGGGTTATCAGCTAGTATTATATAAATTAAAATATGATTAACACATTCATACTTACAAATTGCTAATCAAATGACTCAGAGACAGAACAACAAATAGGAAGCAGACTCAACAAAAACTCATGTATTCACATACAAACCATTCTAGATCATGGAATCCCAACAGAGAACAACAAATAGTTTGTGACAGAATAAATGCTCACATATCAGGAGCCCTGTAGTGATATCTGTAAGATTTGGGTAAATATTAAGGGTCTGAAGGACAACTTCAAAATCCTTTGGTTTAAAGAATGTGTTGTATTTGATATGAATTCATACATTCTACACCTGTAAGTGTACTGTATCTCTAAATACAGCCACCAGGTAGTGAATATTCATAAAAGAATATTCCAAAATATTAGTGTCTTATAAAAGATTTGAGGAAATCAGGGCACTTTTTCATCAGCAAAGGCAATTGATCCACCAACAGTATACTATAATTTCATAGTTAGCACAAATTTTATTATATAATGAGCTTAATTTTGTTTTACATTTTAACAATCAGTCCTTCAGAATTCCAGATTTGGGAAAGAACCTGCCTCCACTGTTAATCAAGTAAGTAAATTGCTGCATCAATTGTAGACTAATAAAACTTTAATTCTGAAGCAATATATTATAATTTTGAGGTTAATTGCTGATAAATTGTTTTCCACTTTATATTCAAAACAATCCCTTATATTGGCAGTGAATAAATACATTTTATTTCACAGGACTCAGAGATCAGTATCCAAAATGCCTTATTCATTTTAGTACTACATCCTGTGCATAATAAATAGTACAAAATGTCACAGTTTGTAGCAATCCAGCAAGCACAAATAATTCAGCAGGATTCATTATACAAACGAAACTTCTTTAAAAACAATAATATAAAACATGATGCATGTATACAATACCCATGTAGCTTTTGCAATGTGATAGAGAGAAGAAATAGCAAGTACAAGAAAAAGCACTAGAACTCTCAGGCAAAGATAAAATGAACTCTTTTATACACAGAACAGTTAAGCTAAGCCACACCCAGGCTCCAAGCTGTCTCAGTCACCAAACAGTCCCCAATGGCTGACTTGTTGCCATGTAGTTCATGAATACACTGACATTCCTCCCTTTTTGACTGGAATAGATATAAAACCAAATAACTTAATATTCTTCCCATGGTGCACTCCTCCACCCAATGGCTTGGTCATTATATCTGCCAGATTGTCCTCTGAAGAACAGTGAAGCAAGGTAATTAATTTACATTTGATGGCTTCTCTTACATTAAAATATTTACATGCTTGCTTCTATTTTTTACTCTGTCACCTGTTGCCATTTTAATACAAGCAGCATTATCTCCAAACACTGTTTCATTTATCTTTATGTTTAAATCCTTTAACAGCTCTACATACCAAGTTACATCTGAACAAAGTTCAGATAGAGCAATAAATTCTGCCTCCACAGTAGAAATGGCTACAGTTGTTGTATTCTGGACTTCAAACCAATTAAAGTCACAATCGCAGAATTGGACTTTCTGGTTTTTATATCATTGGCATAACCACTGTCAACATTTAATTCTTTAATTTAATTTCAACTTTAATTCTTCGGAGATCTGCATATGAAGATCCAAATTCACAGTTCCCTTCAAATACCTGAGAATCTTTTTTATACCCATCCAATGCAATTGCATTGGTACAGCAGTAAAGCAACTTAAGATGTTTACTGCATAAGCAATGTCTGGTCTGGGCCACTGTGACAGATATAACAGGCTCCCTATTGCTGACTGATATATCTCTTAATCACAGGCTTCACTTTTGTCCTCACCCAAATTGTTATGAACACCTGTGCTCATAGGTTTTGTAGCAGAATTACAATCCTTCATGTTATATCTCTCCAACAGCTGTTCAATTTTCCTTCTTTGACTGAGAACATAATCACCTTTCTCAGTTTTTTTATATCTCTAGATAGTTTTGTATTTCATCCAATTTTTTCAATTCTAACTTCTTCTCTAACTGATCAGCAAATTCTTTTACACATCTTTTGCAATGAAACAAAGATCAGCCAAAATGCTAATAATTGACAATCCTCACTTTTTTACTTTATACTTTATACTTTATTGGCCAAGTCTGATTGGACACACAAAGAATTTGTCTTGGTATAAATACCCTCAGTATACATAAAGAAAAGGTACATTCATTAAGAATCAAGAATCAAAACGTACAACACTTAATGATAGTCATAGCGTACAATCAACAATCAAATCATACTAGGAAACAGTCAAGTGGGAGGGGATGAGTGATAAGGAGTGGTGAGAAGATTAACAGTAATAGTAGTATACCCTTTGTAAATAATTGAACGGTGTTGAGGGAATTATTTGTTTAGCAGAGTGATGGCTTTCGGGGGGAAAACTGTTCTTGTGTCTAGTTGTTCTGGTGTGCAGTGCTCTATAGCGTTGTTTTGAGGGAAGGAGTTGAAACAGTTTATGTTCGGGATGTGATGGGTCTGTAAATATTTTCACAGCCCTCTTTTTGACTCGTGCAGTATACAGGTCCTCAATTGAAGGCAGGTGGGTAGTGATAGTTTTTTCTGCAGTCCTAATTATCCTCTGAAGTCTGTGTCTGTCCTGTTGGGTTGCAGAACCAAACCAGACAGCTATAGAGGTGCAGATGATAGACTCAATAATTCCTCTGTAGAACTGGATCAGCAGCTCCTTGGACAGTTTGAGCTTTCTGAGTTGGCGCAGAAAGAACATTCTTTGTTGTGCTTTTTTGATGATGTTTTTGGTGTTAGGTGTCCATTTTAGGTCATGTGATATAGTAGAACCTAGAAATTTGAAGATCTCTATTGTTGATACTGTGTTGTCTAGCATTGTAAGAGGTGGCAGTATGTGAGGGTTTCTCCTAAAGCCTATTACCATTTGTAGTGGTGGTTTTGAGTGTGTTCAGTTCCAGATTCCGGTTACACCACGCAGCAAGTTGTATAACCTCCTGTCTGTATGCAGATTCATTGTTGTCTTGAATGAGACTAATCACTGTTGTGTCGTCAGCAAACCAGTATTTTAACAGATGGATCATTTGAGATGCAGTCATTGGCATATAGGGAGAAGAGAAGTGGAGATAGCACACAGCCTTGGGGTGCCCTTGTGCTGATTGTACAGGTATTGGATGTGATTCCGCCTAGCTTCACCTGCTGCTTCCTGTCTGTTAGGAAACTTATGATCCATTTACAAGTGTGTTCAGGTACCGCTAGTTGGTTTAATTTACTTAGAAGAGTGTCTGGAATGATGGTATTGAATGCTGAACTGAAGTCTACAAAGAGGACCCTTGCATAGGTATTTGGAGATTCAAGGTGTTGTAGGATGTAATGCAGAGCCATGTTAACAGCATCATCTGTTGATCTATTTGCTCTGTATGCAAATTGCATGGGATCTAACAGCGGATCCATGATGGTTTTCAGGTGGGACAGCACAAGCCTTTCAAAGATTTTTCATGACTACAGATGTTAGAGCAACTGGTCTGTAGTCATTCAGTTCTTTGATGGAAGGCTTCTTTGGCACTGGGATGATGGTAGAACGTTTGAAGCAGGAAGAAACATAGCACATCTCTAGTGATCAGATGAAGATGGGGGCCAATTGGTCAGCACAGACTTTTAATCAAGAAGGAGTTATCTTGTCTGGCCCTGGTGTTTTTCCTATCTTCTGTCTGTGTAATAGATCTTGCACTTCTTTTTCTGTGATCATCAGAGGTTGGGAGCCCAATGGATTGGGGCCAGTTGTAGGAGGCTTGGCTGTTGT